TGACTTGCATGTCTTTATTGGTAATAGACCATAGATAATGTCAACAGGAACCCTGTTTTACAACTGAGATGCTAGTGCACAGTCATCAAATGGCTTTCTCACCTTCTGAATCTTTGCCGTTGGTTAAGTTTCATTGTGAAACCCGAGAGCAGCGCTCTCCTGAGGCGTTCTGACTGCTGCTCCTGCCCATCACCCCTGGGAGCAGCTCTTAGGGTGACCTTAGGGAGAGTGGAGGGGGATGAAGACTAGAGTTAGCCAGACTCCCTGGAGGCACACAGATATGGAGAGGGACCATGGGTAGACAATGAAGATGGTGAACCTCCAAGATGGCTGGCTTCTTCCTCACCCTCCTGACCCAAGACAAAAGCCTGGCATCTTAAAACAAAGGCCTTGCAGACTCTTTCCTCCTGCTAGTAGAGCCTCTACTGATGGGATTGCTTAACAAGTTCAAGACCAGATCAGGACACGTTTACACAACGGTTGTGGATCAACCACCCCCCTGGTCATCCTTCAAACTGACCAACTCTAAGTTAGGGGAGGAAACCCCTTCAAAGACTTAAACCTTCCCAGATTTCAGTGAGAGGCTGGGCTTCAGCTCTGTGAGGGTCTTTATCTCTGTGAGCCTCCTGTATGTGTGTGTGTTTCCTCATTCCTAATAAAAGCCTTTTAAAAACAAAAACTGAGTGAAAAAAAAAATGAAACAAAGGGGGGAGGACATGACTGCTCCTGAAATGTGGAGAATATTTTTATTGTAGCTGTAAGGGAGAAAGCAGGAGGAGGGGCGAGCCCAGACTGAACATGCCGGTACCCAGGTTTCTTTAAGACCTAACAAGAACAAAAACAGGTGCTGTTTGTGGAAGTTTAGGAAGTGTCGTCCTGTTGGAAGAAGTATGGCACAGGGCTGGGCTTTGAGAATGTCAAAGCCTTGTGCCATTGCCATTTCACTCTCAAGAAGTGAGCCCCAGTTTCCTGCTCCAGCTGCCAAGTCTGCCGCTTGCTGTCACCCTTCCCCACCGTGATGGACTCTCCTCCCTCTGGTCTGTAAGCCTAACTAACTCTTCCTTTGTCAATAAGTTGTGATGGACTCTCCTCCCTCTGGTCTGTAAGCCTAACTAACTCTTCCTTTGTCAATAAGTTGTGATGGACTCTCCGCCCTCTGGTTTGTAAGCCTAACTAACTCTTCCTTTGTCAATAAGTTGTGATGGACTCTCTTCCCTCTGGGTCTGTAAGCCTAACTAACTCTTCCTTTGTCGGTAAGTTGCCCTGCTCATGGTACTTTATTATAGCAACAGAGAGGTAACTAATACAGACGCTTAAGGCTCCATATCTGAACACGTAGATACCTGCCCATCCATGTTCACAATGACAGGAAATGACACCAGCCTGGGTGTCCATCAGCTGATGAACGCATCACCGAAGTGTGGTACACAGACACAGCGGAGGTCTATTCAGTTATAAAGGAAAATGAGATTGAGAAATTTGCAGGAAAATGGATGAGACCAGAAAAAAAATATACCGACATAACCCAGACCCAGAGAGATCATCACGCTGTGCCCTCTCACATATGTGGATCCTAGCTTCAACATTTGAGATGTGTGTGTTTCACTTCAAATGTCAGAAAGCGCCGGGCGGTGGTGGCACACACCTTTAATCCCAGCACTCGGGAGGCGGAGGCAGGAGGATCTCTGGGAGTTAGAGGCCAGCCTGGTCTACAAGAGCTAGTTCCAGGACAGGCACCAAAGCTACAGAGAAACCCTGTCTCGAAAAACAAAACAAAACAAAAAAAAACAACAACAACAATACCACACACACACACACACACACACACACACACAAATGTCAGAAAGCCAGGAAGGGCACGTGAGCCTGGGAGGTGAGGGAAGGTGGCCTTAATGGGAGGAGAAGATAGCAGAACACGTGATGTTACAGTAGATGGGGAACACAAGGGGTTAAAGGCTTAAATGGGGACAGTGACATGATGGGTGCAGGCTAACCAAAGCTAAGGGGTACAAAAAAATCCTCATGGAAACTCACTACTTTGTAAACTGATTTTTAAAAAAAGGTTTTTAAATGGATTTACTCTACATGGGGACACTGTTACTCCAAGAAGACATGGGTTATTAAACAAGATCTCAGGGTAAGGTATGTGATATTCCCCAATGTGTTACGGTCAAGGAGGCCTCGGAATCCCCCTCAACCCCCTCAGAACTCCTGCTCCCCCAAACACAGACCATTGCTATACTCTTGTTTGCACACCATGACTAAATGGTGGACTCTGTTGCTGAAGATACCACATATTTTGGTTGCAAGATATAGAGGAATCAACCTAGAGTTGACTAGGACTAACTTCCTGCTGGCTGCCTTTCAAGGAAGGGGTTATACTGGGGAGCTAAGGATACTGGTGGTTTTACCTGTTGCTGGACCCAGTCACGCTGACCTGACAGGTAGGATGTGCCCAGCGATGCGAGAGTGACATGAACATTACGGGGTAACCAGCCACTTTCTTACTGTACTTGAGACTTTCTCACAGTAGAAAATTCATACTTGATACTGTAATCCTGTTCAAAAGCTCAAAGCTAGGGAGGCCATCGGCCCTTAGTAAAAAGGAACCGACCATTGTCATTTGCTAACTGGAAATGTTATCAAACTGCTTTCTAAATATTTATGTTTTGACACAGAGTGTTGCTCCCGCCTCCATCAGAGAGGCTTTCTTTGCAGTGGACCGCAGTTAATGGAGAGATTCGCGGCAGAGCGTAAGTGACTGCGGCGTGCTCAGCCTTAAATGGGACATCTATATCAACTCCTGGCCTCCCCTCCACCCTACAGAATGCCAGGGCTGTAGGATGGGGAGGAGTGCCCTGAGGTGCTGTCTTCCAGTGACTGCTGCACTCACGGGCTCTCAGCACCTGTGGTTATGTGCAAATTTGCACACCATCAGGCCGGGCAATATTCCAGCACAGCCTGGGAAGGGACTCAGGAAGCTCCGCCCCCCACCTGAGCGGCTCTTGGCAAAGGACAGCTGCCGGTGGGGGCGAGTCACTTTTCTCCTGGGGTGTGGTCTCTGGTAGGGTGCGGGGGGGGGGGGGGGGGGGGGGGGGGCGGGGGGGGGGGGGGGGGGGGGGGGGGGGGGGGGGGGGGGGGGGGGGGGGGAGATGAGCTACGTGGACTCAGTGAAGTGTTAAAGAAAAAAAAGAGGACATGGAGGTGAAAAGGGAACTTGTTTGGAAGGGGTGCAGGGAAGAGGTGTGTGTGTGTAGTGGATTCTTTCTATCTATCTATCTATCTATCTATCTATCTACCTACCTACCTATCTATTTTGGTTTTTCAAGACAGGGTTTCTCTGTAACTTTGGAGCCTGTCCTGGAACTTGCTCTGTAGACTGGGCTGGCCTCAAACTCACAGAGATCCACCTGTCTCTGCCTTTCAAGTGCTGGGATTAAAGGTGTGCGACACCACCGCCTAACTATTTTTTTAAGTTTTTTTTTTTTTTTGAGACAGGGTTTAACTATTTTTTTTTTTTTGAGACAGGGTTTCCCTGTGTAGCTCTGACTGTTCTGTAACTCACTTTGTAAACCAGGCTGACCTCAAACTCACAAAGATCCACTTGCCTCTGCCTCCCAAGTGCTAGGGCCACCACCGCCTGGCTTGGTGTGTATTTTATAAAAACATGTATATATACATGAGTCAAAAGCTAAATACAATTTATTTTTATTTTTAGTTTCTTTTTTAAAAAAGGTCTTGGGATGGCTCTTCACAAGTTTGCTGCAGGAAAAAGAAAAAAGCCCCTGGAGGGGAAAGAAAAAAAATTATTTCCCACCCATCAATAGATTTACAGAGCCCCAGATGATAAGGAAGATGGTAAGCTAGCAGGCACCAGTGACACACCCTGGGAGAGGGTGGCAAGATGCACTGGGTCATATGGAACGCAGCGGTACCATGCTGCTCAGCACATAGAGAATGCTCAGTCAAAGTAGGTAATAGGATTGAATGGACCAATAGCTTCTCTGGTCTGCCCCGGTTGCACACGCTCCTGTTTTCTCACACTCCTCCCTCTCCCCACCCTGCCCTGGGCTCTGAAGACCCCAGCTGCTCATATAGGGTCAGTGCTGTCCTGAGCTCCATCAGGAGGCACTTCCTGCTGTGTGCCAGGTGCATCCACGTGGCCTCACGTTCTCCATCTCCCTCCTCCTCCCTGTCCTTATCTTTCCCTTTCGTCTCCATGGAGATTCACCGCCTCGGCTTGCCTGCATCCCAGACTCTGCCAGAGATTCTGAGCTGGGCTGGGTTCATCTCTCCTCTGAAGCCCTGGTACCCGCAGCCCTGTCTCCTCCCCCTGGGGGTGAATCCACCCTCCTTTACAGCCTCTTTTTTTTCTGACCAGCTCATTTATTCTCCAGCGCTGACAGCTAGGAAGAGCCTCGGAGGAGCCCATCCCCCTGCTCCACCCTCCACCTGCTCCGCTAGCCCTCTGGGTGAAAGGCTGTCCTACCGGCAAAAACCTCGGTGGTCGTCCTCTCTCAACATCGGACCCTCTGCCATTCCAGCCTCCCATGCCGAGGCCCGCTCTGTCAGTCACTGCTTTTTGTCATCGGCTCGGCAAACGGGCAAGTCTTGAAGCCCTAAGACCTGGAAAGGAGAGTTGGGGGGTGGGAAGAAGCCACCGGGGAGGGGGAAGGGTGGCTGGGTGGAAGGACCCTGGAAACCCGGCAGGAAGACAGGGTCTGGGTTCTGCTCTAAATGTGTCCCCTCCCCCCTCCTAGGAGAGCAAACGAAGCTTCATGGGAAACAGCAGCAACAGTTGGTGAGCCACGGGGCCTTCTGGTCTGGGATTGGTGCAGTGGGTCTGGCAGGTCAGCTGGCGAAGCTGGTCCAGGAGCACGGATCTCTGCAGTCCAGGCAGACTCCTTTGCTGAGCTCTCAGCAGGGCTCTTCCCCGGGGAAGAAGTGCAAGGCTGAATGGGCCAGGCTGTGCAGGGAGGGACCAGGACAAGCAGGTGGGTGCTACAGATGCTCAGCTCGGAGAGCACAAGGAATCCTCTGAGAACCTGACCATCTGTTCAGCTGCAGAATGGCTGCCTGGGTGCCAGAAGCTACCGCCCTTTCCTGACTATCCTAGCAGCTGGGGTTATAGTCTGTTCCCCCTTGAGGAAGACCCGCAGCAAGAAGGCTGGTGTTCCATGGGTTTCCTGAGTGCTGACCCTGGGCACCTTGTCGATGAGGTAGTCATCACGAATGACTGCCTCCAACCCCAGCCAGGGCGCTTACTCCCAGTCTCTTCTTTGGACCTCGCCCATGGTTGCATGGCTGGCATGGGCAGATCCAGGATTCCCTGAGGGTTGCTCTTGGGGCACTCTCCCCTCTGTTCTGTTGTTCTCAGTTAGGATGGCCAGGACCTGGGAAACAAGAAAGTGAGGAATGGGTGGAGCTCATCCTCCTGGTGTCCCTAGGAAGCTGAGGTGGCACAGAAGGACCTTCATCCCTAAGGTGTCAGCCCTCCAAGCCCTGCACCCAACTGGCATCCAACTTTCAGATGATGCTATACCCTCCAGGTCCCATGCATCATTCCCTAAGCTGGAGCTGGGCCTGGGACACCGTCCCTCCCCACCCCGGGAGCCGCCCACCTGCTCCATCTGTCTGGAAAGGCTTCGAGAGCCCATCTCACTGGACTGTGGCCATGACTTCTGCATCCGGTGCTTCAGCACACATCGCATCCCAGGCTGTGAACCTCCATGCTGCCCTGAGTGCCGGAAAATCTGCAAGCAGAAGAAGGGCCTCCGCAGTCTAGGGGAGAGGATGAAGCTCCTGCCACAGCGGCCGCTGCCCCCTGCACTGCAGGTGAGGGACTTGATCTCTGCACTCAGAGATCTCCGATTAGGCCCAAGGTGGGGGATTAGCTTTGACCCTATTCTAAACTGTCAGGAAGGGGCACAGAGTTCCAGGCTGGACACTCTCCCAACTTGGGGTCGGTCTCATTTGGGATGCTCAGGGGACCCTTCTCTGTCCCACCCAGGAGACCTGTGCCGTGAGGGCAGAGCGGCTGCTATTGGTGCGTATCAATGCCTCTGGAGGCCTCATCCTCAGAATGGGGGCCATAAACCGCTGCCTGAAGCATCCATTGGCCAGAGACACACCTGTCTGTTTGCTTGCTGTACTGGGAGAGCAGCACTCAGGAAAGTCCTTCCTCCTGGACCACTTGCTCAGAGGTTTACCAAACCTGGTGAGGGCAGGGCTGGCAGGAAAATGCAGGGAGGCAAAGCAGAGCTCCAGGCAGGCTCTGGGAGGGAAACATCTCTCGGGATGCAGACTGGACCACCTGATACCTTCTCCATCTTCAGGAATCTGGTGACAATGGCAGGCCCAGGACAGAGGGGTCTCTGCCTGGGATCAGATGGGGTGCCAATGGCCTTACTAGGGGCATCTGGATGTGGAGTCACCCCTTCCTGCTGGGAAAAGAAGGGAAGAAGGTAAGGGAGAGATGCAGAGGGAAGTTAGCCTGAATCCAGAAGGGAAATTGACTGGAGGGTACCGGATGGAGGTATGGAGGAGAGAGAGAAGGAAGCGAGGAATGAGAAGGACATCTCCGGGGTAAGGGCAAAGAAAGGGCTGATCAGAGAGCAAGGCAGGCCTAACCCTCGCTCTGTGTCGATAGGTGGCTGTGTTCTTAGTGGACACCGGAGATGTCATGAGCCCGGAACTGAGCAGGGAGACAAGGATCAAGCTCTGTGCTCTCACCATGATGCTCAGCTCCTACCAGGTGAGAGAGGTGCTTGGGTGGGGTGGCCACCCTGTTTCCTCAGAACTGAGAACGTGGCAGATTTGGGTGTCTGGGGTTCCTGAAGGTTCTGGAAGGTCCTTCTGGAAGGAGGATGTTCTTAGTGAAGGTGGGCAGGTGGGTTGTTCTAATGGTGGGATGATGGGCCTCAAGGACAGCTGGTGGCCCACAGGACCACAAAACTCTCCAAGGCTGCTGGAAGATGGCTCGTAGCTAGGCTGAAAGGTTCGTGCCAGACTAGGCTTGTGTTCTGGGATAAAGGCCGCTCAGGAGTAGCTCATCCTACTTCTGCAAATCTTCTTGCATTTTCCTTCTTTCCTCCATTCCAGATCCTGAACACCTCCCAGGAGCTGAAGGACACAGACCTGGGCTATCTAGAGGTGAGGAAGTTTCTGGACAGACCTGGGCTATCTAGGGGTGGGGCAGTTTTTGGACAGACCTGGGCTATCTAGAGGTGAGGCTGTTTCTGGACAGACCTGGGCTATCTAGAGGTGAGGCCATTTCTGGACAGACCTGGGCTATCTAGAGGTGAGGCAGTTTCTGGTATTGAAGCCACCACCTCCACACACCCCAAGCACAAGGTCAGGAGGGCTGGACCAAAGGGAACTAACTCAAGCCTTCCCATTCTGGCTTAGAACTGTATGACACTTGAACTGGCTTATGACAGACAGTTGAGCATGAGGTGCCTGGTTTGGGGAAGAGGCAAGAGAACCTTCAAGCTTGAAGCAGGAAACTTGGCTCCTCTAGTGGTCCAGGGTGACTAGAGAGAAGGCTTAGGGGACAGACTGTAGCTCTTGGAGTAGCTCAACCCCCAAACTCTTTGTACCCATCCCCAGATGTTCGTTCACGTGGCTGAGGTGATGGGCAAGCATTATGGGATGGTGCCAATCCAGGTGAGACACCTGTTTCTAGACTTGTAGGTCCAGGGACTGCCAATCCCAGCTGCTGGTGCTGGGACCCTTTCTCTTCCAGCATCTGGACCTCTTAGTTCATGACTCTTCCCATCACAATAAGTCAGGGCAGGGACACATGGGTGACATACTCCAGGTAAGCAGTACAGAGGGAAGAGGCCGATGCCAGGGCAGCAGGTGAGGGAGGCTGGGGGGGTGTCCCAGAAGTGTGCTTACAGGCGGAGTCTGCTCCCTTGGCTCAGACTTCTCCACAATCCATCTCTCAGAAGCTGTCCAGTAAATACCCCAAGGTCCAGGAGCTTCTCCTAGGGAAACGGGCCCGCTGTTACCTCTTGCCTGCTCCTGAGAGGCAGTGGTCAAGCAAAGGTCAAGCAAGCCCAAGAGGCAGTAAGTGTTCCAGGGGTGGAGACCTCTCTGGCATTGCCTCCAAAGTTTGGCCCAGTCTTTCCCTGGCCCAGGCTCTTCAGTCTGAGGAATCTCTTTTTTCAGACACAGAAGATGACTTCTCTCACTTCTTCCGGGCCTACATCTCGGATGTGCTGAGCACAGCACCTCAGCATGCTAAGAGCCGCTGCCAGGGGTACTGGAGTGAGGGGCGTGCCATAGCCAGAGGGGACAGACGCCTGCTCACAGGGCAGCAGCTAGCACAGGAGATCAAGGTGTGCAAACTTCCCAGGTAGTCTGGGCTCAGCAGGCAGGCACCTGCCTTCCCTGACCTGGCTGTGATGTCTCTGTAGAACCTCTCAGGTTGGATGGGGAAGACGGGGCCTAGTTTTAGCTCTCCAGACGAGGTAAGGAGCCCCTCCCCTTGGGGAGGGTGGGGTAAGGGAGGATGAATGTTCTGGGAGTGGAGATGAAGAAGCCTGGAGTAGCCCTGGCTGAGGAGGAAAGAGGGAAGCAGCCTGGGTTTTCCCATGGACAGATGGCTGCTCAGCTCCACGACCTGAGGAAAGTGGAAGCTGCCAAGAAGGAGTTTGAGGAGTATGTGAGGCAGCAGGTGAGCCCCAGGGGCGGCAGGGGCGGCTGTGCCAGAGAGGCTGCCTGGGTACCCAGGTGGATCACCGTCTGTCCTTCCCACTGCCACAGGACATAGCCACTAAGCGCATCTTCTCTGCACTCCGAGTCCTGCCCGATACCATGCGGAACCTCCTCTCTACCCAGAAGGACGCCATCTTGGCCCGCCATGGTGTGGCCTTGTTGTGCAAGGAGAGAGAGCAGACCTTGGAGGCCCTGGAAGCTGAGCTGCAGGCAGAGGCCAAGGCCTTCATGGACTCCTACACAATGCGCTTCTGTGGCCACCTGGCCGCAGTGGGGGGCGCTGTAGGTGCCGGGCTCATGGGCCTGGCAGGGGGTGTGGTGGGTGCAGGCATGGCAGCCGCAGCATTGGCTGCTGAAGCTGGAATGGTGGCAGCCGGGGCAGCGGTGGGGGCCACCGGGGCTGCTGTAGTTGGGGGTGGTGTGGGTGCCGGCCTGGCTGCTACCGTGGGCTGCATGGAGAAGGAGGAAGATGAGCGGGTACAAGGAGGGGACCGAGAGCCCCTTCTCCAGGAAGAATAACAGCAAGGAGATGTTGAAGGATGGAGGAGACGAAAGGCAAGAGGAAGGGTGTGGTCACGCCAGGGATTCTGAGGGGACCACATGTAAGCTGGCTCTGTTCAATCCCCTTGTCATTCACTGGCTGAGCTGGGGTTTTAATCTGAGTCCAAGGACCTGGGGAGGCTTTCTGGCCAGGAGGCTGTGTTTGCAGCAGTGTGAGGCCTGTTTCTGGCTGTGGATAATTGGTACTCACTGGAGCCCAGCATCTCCACCTCTCCCGCCCCACTCCAGTTGACTTCCCTGGAGGGCCCTGGCCTGGAAGTTTATCCCAAGATCCAGAGCCCTGTCTTTTTACAGTTGGGACAGGCTCCAACATGACTGATTTTGGAGCTGGGGGCCCTGACAGGGAGGAAGAGGAGGTACCACAGGACAGAGATGGGTATGTCAGACTAAGGTATTACCCCGGAGCAGTGACTTGTTCCCAAAACTGCTCCAGACATGGCCGGCCTCCCTGCTCTTCAGCTGGGCGTCCAGATGTGTGTCCTGAGCCGCCCCGTCCCCCAGTCTCCTGCAGTCCTCCTGGGCCTGTGCCCTGTGCCAAGTCCATTTGGATGGATGGAGGGAGATTAAATGCCAAAGAACCACACCTCCGATTGCAGTCTGTGCTAAAGCAGCCGACCAGGCTCTGCCAATGTCTGGTAAAGGAAAGCGCAGGAAATGAGTTCCGTTCTTAAGCACGGCCCCTCTCCCGGGAACTGTGGGCTCTCTGTGCCGCACTGTAAGACCTCCTAGATGTAGCTCTCCGAACTACAAGCCCCCAAAGAGCCTGGGGCTTGAAAATTTCTAAGGAGACCTCTGGGCTATTGCACTGTAAAGGATGTTGGGTACATGGCCCTTTATTTTATATAAAAATAAAATGTGTGTGTGTGTGTGCGTGTGTGTGCGTGTGTGTGATTGGCAGTTTCTCAGTACATTACTGAAACAAAAATTTGGCCTCTGGAGGAGTCTGGTGTGGGAGGGATGGCAAGGGGTTCCATTATCAGGGCATAGTGGTGGGGCAGGGACACTGAAATTCAAAGCGATCTGAGGAGTATCATGCCCTGGCTTGGTGGCGGCAGGAGGCTTTGGCCAAGGGCCAAGTACACAGCCACCTTTGCAGGCTTGTTCACAAGGGCTTTGAGTCTGATCCTTTTGTTGGTCCCCAGAGAAGCAGATTCTGCTGCTCTATCAATGGGGAGCCGGCATCTGTTTCAGCAGAAGACAAAAAGGAGGCTTGACAGGGAGACCTCGGCCAGACTGGTAAAAGGAGAAGCCAGGCTCCATTGTGCAGGGCTGGCCAGTGGGTGACACTGGATTCTCCCCCCAGTTGCACCTCCAATCTCGGAATTGCAGCACGCTCCATCTAAACCCCACATTTCACAGATGCAAACCCAAAACAGAGTCTCAAGTAAGACTGCCCAGCTGCCCAGTGGAGAAGCAGGAACCTGATATCCAGGCTGGCGTTAATACACAGACAGTGGAAGATGTGCTGTTCACGGCTCTGCTGAAATCAAGATGTTCCTTTTTTTTTTTTCTGGATGCTTCTACCGCCGTGTCCAGCTCAGAGAAATTTTGAGGGGCAGCAGAGGACATGGTCTAGGACTGATAGACAAAATATACAACGTAGACAAATTGCAGAGCTGGGAAGGAGGGTGGGTGGGGTAAGGGCAAATGAGGGTGCCCCATTTTGGAAACTGGGCCTTCCATGGGGGCAGGGTCTAGACAGTGTGTGGTGTTTGTGGAGAAAGGCTTTCTGGGAGCATCACAGGGTCCGTCCGTCCACTGTCATCTGGTAGGCACATGAGCTACAAAGCCTTCCAGAGACTGGGGCTGGCCAGCTCAGGACACAAGGGCCTCTGAGGACTGAGAGGGTGGTGCTGTGTAGTTAGGATCCCCTCCCACAGGAACTTGGAGGAAACTCCAAGGTCAACCTCTTTGTACTCACTGAGCAGATGGGAGACGTTGGCTCAGCTAGAGAAGCTTCTGCAGGAAAATGAATATTCCACGATATTTATCGTGTGCCTTCTATCTTTCAAAGCATTCCCAAGCATTTCCCCCTAGAAGACCATCAGTATGAACAACATACATTTGTATAGAGGTGGACACAGAAACCCAGAGAAGTGATGTGTCTCCGTATCAGTTAAAACAACTAGTGACAGACAAACCAGGACTGGAACCCAAGATCTCTGATGTCAGATCCCTTATTCTGCAGAGACTTCACCCTCACAAGTCGCTTCAGACAGCCAGACGACCTTACGATCCTGCCCCCAGTGAGGTGGCTTCTGGTGTGTGGTTCCATTTTCATTCCTATTGTAAAATACCCAAAGCCAAGCATGTTATCAAGAGAAGTTTGTTTAGCTCGCGGTTTTGGAGATCCAAGGGTATGAGCCGGTATTAGCTTGACTCTGGTGAGAATCTCGTGGTGCTTGGCATAGCATGGGAAGAGTGTGTGTAAGGAATCCTCATGCGCCAAGACAGGAAGCCCCTCACCCCAGAGAGGGAGGGTATTCATAAGAACTACACTAACTCCCACTGAGGGTTGGATCTCTAGTGACCTGACCTAGGCTCCATTCCATAAAGGTCTGATGAGGAACAACTGTCCCATTTATGCGTCCTGAGATACCTCTAAGCAACACCATAAACTAGTACTGGGCTTTCAGTATTGGTCCTGGGATTCACCAGCCTGTAACCCAGGGCCCCAAGATTCCCTTGTCACAGGTCTCTGAGTTAGAGATGGCTGTCATGCCTTGCAGCCCCTTAATTCTGAATTCCCCTAGTGTTGAAGATGGCGGGTTCACAAGAAGCAAGGGGCCAAGCGTCCTGAAGCCCCTCGCCACGTGCAGCAGCCCCATCCCACTGACCTGCAGGAAGCCATACCAGGAGCCAGAATAAACTTTGACTGTATTGAGCGGATGAGACACGGAGCTGATCTGTTGCTGTGGTGTTGTTTTCCTAACTGATGAACAGACCTGTGCTCTTTGAAATGGGCTGTGGCTGTAGGAAACGCTGACCAGCACCGGTTGGTGGTGAGTAATAAGGAAACGCAGCTGGGCTCGAGTCGTGATGAACCGTTTGCCAACTGCCCACCTATAAACACTTGGAATCCGGAACTTGTATGTTTGAGGAAGTTTCTAAAAAAATGAAGTTCTCTTGCCAATCCAGAATATTCTCTCTACCAATATTCTCTCCACGCATTTGATACACAGGACTGACCCTGTGTAATCTGGTAAAAACGTTACAGAGACAAAAAGAAATCCCAGCCGTGTTGTGCTTTTGTTTGTGTGGCCAGGACATGAACAGACCAGCTGAGAGGGAAAGACTGGCTTTGCTTACGGTTGGTTTGAGAGGGCCGGGTTCATTGTCACTTGGTCCTGTGTGTTGGGCAGAGAGTCCATGGTGACAGGAGCCCGGCGTGCACAAAGCTGTTTGCTTCATGGCCAACCAAACCAAGGAAAGAAGATACTGTTTATAGCTGGCTTTTTCTTTCCCCACTTTATTATATCTGGAACCTTAGCCCATGGGATGGTCCATCCACATTTAGAGTGAGTCTTTCTCCCTCACTTAATAATCCTGACTGGCTTGCCAAGAAGTAGGAAGGGACTATGGCTGCTCCTTGGCTTCTCTGTTCTTTTAGGTTTTATTCTGATTTTTGACTTCTGGCTTTTATTGGTAAGATTAATTAGATTTGTGCTTCATCTGGCATTCCACATTGGGTGCCATATGAAGACAGAGCTTTCCTAGTCTGGAAGCTGCTTCCAAAGTGTCACACAGAGGTTTGTATTAATTGTAAATGCTCGGCTTATAGCTCAACTAGCTAACTCTTACACTTAAATTAACCCATAATTTATATCTATGTTTAGTCATGTACTTGGTACATTTTCTCAGTACAGCATTCTCATCTTGCTTCTCTGCATTTGCCTGTGACTGTCTGGCTCCACCCTTCTCCTTCCCGTCATCCATAGTGTTGGGTGCCCTGCCTATACTTCCTGCCTGGCTACTGGCCAATCAGCATTTTATTAAACCAATTTGAATGACAAACCTTTACAGTGTACAAGGGGATTGTCCCACAGCACTGAAAGGCCTTTCCAGACACATTCGGAGATGTGCTTTATGTCTTCCGGCTGACTCTAAACTAGCTGAGTTGATGAAGATGGTTAGCCATCATACCCTCATCTCTACGGCCAGGCAGATGCAGCCTACAGCTGGGGCATGTTCATGGATGAGGCATGAGGACCTTGCAGCGTCATTCGCCATGTGCGCTTTCACAGCTTCCCCAAGTTTACCTGATAAGCAGCTGCCAGAGCACCCAGCTGAATGCCCTGGTGACAGGGTGATGGGATGCTGGAATCACATGGCTCCAGGACCTGCAGAAAGACCGTCCTGGGTAAGCGGTTTATTTCACCTTTCAAATGAGTCATTCAGTTGTCAGAGCTTTGCGACTCTGTGTGACGAACTATATGGTTCAACTTGCCTTTGTTTCTAAACCCACGCTTGGCTGTCCCTAACAAGGACTGTACCTAGCAAGTCTTACATACCATATCTGTCCTGGGCATGCTGTAGGGACTTGTCAGGGTGAGTACAGGCTTCTGGGGCCCAAGGCTGGCAGGAAAACAAAGCAGTGTTGGAAAGTAGCTTACTGACTTTTAGTAAAGTGTGGGTCTTAAAGTAATTGAAATCACTTATTCAAGCTAGACAGGTCAGAGTTTGGGCCAATTTTCCCCAAGGCCCACGTGTTAAAGGTTTGTTTCTTGTCTCACGGTATTATCGATAGGACTTTAAGGCACGGGACCCAAAGGGAGGAAGTTAGGTCATTGAGATGTGCCATTGAAGGGGATCTTGGGACCCCAGCCCCTTCTCACTTTACTTCCCCGCCACTGTGATGCGAGAAGCTTGCACAGGTGCCTTCATGCACTGCCTCACTGCAGGCCCGTAGGAGTGGGGCTAACCTCGCGCAGAAGCCTCTGAAACTGGGAGCCCAAATGAACCTTTCTTCTTTATAAGTTGATTGTTTCAAGTTGTAATGGTAATGAAAACCAATTAACACCGGCCACCAAAGGCTATCTATGGCAATGACAGTGGGCTTGTTAGAATGGCCCAATATCAGTCTAGAAAATATAGGGCTGAAGTCCTTGTGGGAACCTCACTCTAGTCCTCCTGGGGAGCTGGCTTCTGTGGAAGGCATGAGCTCAATTGGGTTGTTCTTTTCCTTTGATGGTCACATCAGAACACTTACAGGAGCCCTCCCTGTGTAGGGACAGCCTGCTTTTCCTCCAAGATACCTAACTGTACACAAAATCTCTGGATTGGTTGATGGGGTGGTGGGCTCCCAAGGAGGATGTTTCTCAGCTCTTCTGATTTTATAGTTCAGGCTTTGCAGAAAAGAGAGGAGTCCGTTAGAACATTGAGCATGACATGAGAGAACTGGGCTAACCAGGGCACAGGACATGGTCTCAACATGTCTTCATAGCCTGTCAAAAGAGAGTGCAATGCTTGCCTGTGGGGTGCCTCTCATCCCCAGCAAGGCTCAGTGGAGTGTTAGCATCCCTCCCAGGATGTGCAGGATGGACAGACGGAGCCTTGGAGTCTGATTTATCTGTTCCACTTACACAGAGGATGGTGTGTGTGCAGGAGTACCCAGCATGACCTGCCTCATTCCTGAACGACAGTGCTCTCAGGCCACCTGGGCATCCCATGCATTACAAGGACCCAATCTCTTTCCTTACCTTCCATAGCTTCAGTGGAATCCACCTGTCCCCAGGTCCCCGGAAAGCTGATGGAGGAAGGCCTTTTGTAGCACCTTGTGCTAAGAACCCCTGCATGTCAGGAGCCCTGCTGACAGGCACCAGGTCTCGTACAGATGTCACTGGTTGGAGAGAGGGGTATTCAGAAAGGATCTCACTCTTTAGCTCAAGCTGGACTGGAACTTGCTGTGTAGTCCAGGCTTGTTTTGAGCTCTTGGCAGTCTTCTTTCTTTGGCCTCCCAAATGCTGAGATTAAAGACATGAGTGCCCCATGCCTGGCCTCTAACACATCTTGGATATGCCACCTGCCCAACATGGTGGGGACCAGTGAAAGCCCTCCTGGGATGATCTGGGCATGGTGAGGAGGGGACAGCTATAGATGGCCCAGCTGAGGTCTCTTAGAGCTCTCCTTGGTCTATTAGTTCGTTTCCTTTGTGAGGGAGATGAACCAAAGTTACTCGTTATATTAGAAGTGGGGTTTTAAGTGTGAGGGCTGCCTTGCCCTTTAGAAATGTCGCTGTTTTGCCCAGGTGACTTGTAGAGGCTGTGAGCTGCGAGGCCCCGAGTGGCTTTTATTTTCAGAGACACTCTAGTTCCCTTAAAATCTAGTAACCCCTATTTCTCAACTTTTCTCTGTTGCATGGTAGACACAGATGTTTATCAGTGTGCAGATTTTGTCAGTGGTTAGAGGGATGGGAGACGGGGCCACGGCTCTGTTCTGTCTCCCATGACAGCTTGAGAGCTGGGAATTGAACCTGTGTCCTCTACAGGAACAGCCAGTGTTCTCAACTGCTGAGTCATTGCTACAGCCCCTAAATTAAAGATTTTGACTGATGGTTATTTATGATTCAGGCATGATAAGGAATGAGGCAATTCCTTATTCTATAAATTGCTTCAACCTTTGAAGCCTTGTTCTTCTTTTTCCCTCATTCTTTATCCTCTTTGCGTGAATTTTTCAATCCACAAAGAGGATCACTTGCCCTTTCTTCTGCCGGTTCAAATCTGAGTTCCAATTTCAGTTACTGGACTTGTGTGTGTGTGTGTGTGTGTGTGTGTGTGTGTACTTGCGTGTGCGTGCATGTGTGTGTGTGTGTGTGTGTTCTGAGACTGGAGCTCACTGTTTGGGCTAGACTGCTGGCAAACCCCAGGGATCTGCCTGCCTCCTCTCCGGCACTGCAATTATGGGTACACACCACCACATCTGACTTCCACGCAGGATGAGGGAACAGGTCCCAGGCTGTCATGAGGGCACAGCAAGCTTTACCCACTGAGTTCACTCTCTCTAGCTCCCACATACAGTTTTTAATGTTCATCTTTTTCTAGTCGTGGCTTTGCCTGGGTTTAATACACCCGGCTGGGAGACAATTTGCTAGCACCCAATGCAGCTTTGTCCCCCTTAGTTCCTAAAGGCTACCTCTTTTCCTCGCATCCTCCACTTTGGGATTAAAAAAATAATCTTTTCGGCAAACTGCTGGACCAATCAGCTATCTGTAGGTGAAGAATGCAGAGAAGGGAGAGCTGGAAGTTGCTCCTGAACGCCAGTATGAATGTGACATCCATGCCTCTGATCCTTATAATGACCATGGCCTGAAAGCCCCGGGCCAGCTGCTGCCTACCGTGAAGACAGCGCTTCACAGTGATTCCAGTGTTCACAGTGCACAGAGATCTGAAATTCTCAACCCCAAGATGTTTTAAACAAATGGATGCTTTACTTCGGACTTTAAGTAGAAAAACACTCAAATTGGAATTTCAAAAGCATTTTTTTCTAGAAATAATTATTCGTATTTATTAACTTTTAGTAATCCCTTCCAGTTATTGATGTGTTCTCGGTAGAGCCAGCTTGAATTATTATTTTTTTAAAAATCCTTGGCTGACCGGGTTTGTGTGCAGTGCCTGCCACGCTCCGCTCCAGACCCTGGCTTCTCATCTTGACTCATATGCCACTTGCGTGAATGGTGCTGCAGATCTCCGGTGTCCTTTGTGGAGCTAGTGTCTGAGACGGCCTCACGTTGTGTTCACGAGCTTCATGTGGTTGCTGTCCCAGATCTGGGCTTCTGTGTTGGCAATGAGCAGTGAGATGCCCCGTTTTATCTCTTACTTTTCTCATGGCTGTGACAAAATGGCAGGCAGAAGCAGCCTCTTGGAAGAGGTTTCTTTGGGCTCCTGATTTCAGTCTGCCGTTGCGGGAAGGTGGAGAGGAGGTCACGGTGGCTGTAGTAAGTGGCAGAGGGGCCTCACATTTTGTCAAATCAGGAAACAGAGCTGGGATCCAAAATAGGGCCTGGTGATGATCCTTCATGTCTCACTTCTGCTGTGGCCCACTTCTCCAAGCTGTGCCTCCCATCCAAGAGTTCTACAGCCCCTCAGCCAGCACAGTTGTCAGCCACGCCTGAAGCCCTTTTCCCCATGCAACCATCCTGCAAGCCTGACAAAATGAAGTTTAAAGATTCACTCAAGTCCCTGTTGAATTTGCATAAATTATGAGCAAAGCAATTGTATCAGGTCATACTACACATCAAAATAACCACACTGCACCCTAGCAATTTATGTTCTTATCATTAGCAATTGGAGGTTTAACCCCCCCCCCCCCCCCGCCCATTGGTAGAAGCAAGTATGTTGTCAGAGAGCGCAGCAGAGAAGAGCAAAGACAGCCCCACGAGAGTTAAGTGCACACATTCACAGCTCATGAGATGAAGGACGCACACACTTACCATTTCCATCTTCCTGCAATGGCTTTGATTATGTAATGCTGAGTTTGTTTCTTGTGACAGTTTTTGACTGGAGCTATTTGCCATCTGTGAAAGGCCAGCTCTGTTCTTCCTGGTTTATCCGCTGCACGGAATACCAATTTCTGTCCTTTCCCTCCACCAGCTATGTTCTTGTATTTAGAGTGTGTGTTTTTTGTAGGTAATTTATATTTCAATCTGGATTTTTTAAAAATCCATTCATCTACTCTATGCCTTTTGATTACAGTTTGATCTACTTACATCTCCAGTGCGTATTGTATGTTATAGACATAGCTTGATGGTAGAGTGCTGTTCTAGCACGGCCAAGGTTCTGGGTTCAATCACACACACACACACACACACACACACACACACACAAAATAAATCAATAGGGAAGACTTTTCTATTTAATTGTTTTCTGCATCTTGTACAGTTATTATTGTTTCTCTTTTCCTCTTTTCTGACTTTATGCTTTGATTTTTTTTCCCCCTTTGAACATGGCCTCACTATGTAGCCCTGACTGGCCTCAAACTCACAAACTGCCTCTGCCTCCTGAGTGCTGGGATGAAAGGCATGTACTACCATGTCTGCCCTGATTATTTTTTTTCAGTGACAGTTTGATCTGTATCCTTTTTATTTTCAGTGTCTTCTAGAGGTATTTTCTTTGTAGTTTCCATGATGACTGAGGAGGAACATTTTCTATTTATAACGATGTCTCTAAATGGCTAACTTAATTGTATTTTAAAATCGTGCTCCTTTATATTTCCTGCACGCTTAGTTATGAGTGGCACAGATCACATCCTTCCATGTGCTTGTACCCACTGACAGTTTTGTAGCTATGGTTACTGTGTTCTTCTATCTTTTAAATCCTACGTGAGAATTAAAGCTTGTTTGGCTGCACGGTTATCATGTTGCGGGAGTCTGCACTTGTCTATGTATCTCCTTTTAGTGACAAGCTTTCTCTTTTCATCTTTGTGTGTTGTTCTCTAACGGACGTTGATCTCCGCTTGAAGATTTCCGTATACCAGGACTTGCCAGGCAGGCGGTGGTGATGGTTCCCAGGCTTTGTCTGTATGGGACAGGCCCTCCTCCTCTCTCTCTCTACATCAGGCTGGCCTCCACCTCCAGATCCCCCTCCCTCCACCCACCAAGGACTGGAATAGCAGGTGTGTACCCCACACCTTTTCCTCTTCTGCTTTTGAAAGTCTTGTGTGGTGCAGTGTTCTGGGCGGAACTTTATTTTCCCCCACACAGTGTTCTGGGCAGAGCTCCATTTCCGACGAGCAGCTTGACGCTGTCACCCACTTCCTTCTGACCTGTGCTGTTTCTGCTCAGACACTGGATAGAACCCAAGTGGAGCTCTCTGGTCCCTGATGGTC